ATGCTCAACCACTGCGAAACAGAAGGTACCATTCAATTCACTGTTCATTAACAGGAATAATAGGAAATGGACTAGACACCTCTTAAACAGGATATATATTAAATTCCCCAGCCGCTATTGGTACGGGCATCTATGGAAGATTCCATTGGAGTAAGGCAGGTTTCTTGTAGATGTGAAATACCCGACATCATTGTTAGAAGTTTAAATAATGTACAGTCAAGTCTAAAGTGTAAATGTTAATCGTAATTTTAATAATGAAATATATTCGAAATTATGTAAATTGTTTTCTTTTTTTGAGCTAGTTCCACGAGAAGGGATTTGTCAGAATATCCCTGAGAGAGGATGTACTCCAATATGTTTTAGACACCGGTAACCACCTACCATCAGGTAAAACGAATGCTCATTTACTAACTCAGGTATATGGAAAATATCTGTCATACAATACTAAAGCAAAGATTTTATCTGATTAAAATAAATACCTGAGATATGAGAAAGCTGTATTTACTCGTATAATAAAATTATATATACGACAATACAGATAGAATTTCAGCCTGATATTGCGTATCTGTCAAATTTCCCACGCTGTCGTCAGCGGACTGTCATGGCGGCGCAATACCTGTCAGATATAATATTGTTTTTTTACTTACACCGTAACATTGGCGAAAGAAACAATATTTGTTCTTATATATTTTATTAAACATGCTGTTATTAACTTCACTTGTAACCAACTAACTGTCTGTATCTATAAAGGAGCAGCATTACGCAGTACTTCTTGCTCCAAGTAAAGTGTGGACGTGATGATTACGTTTGTTAGCCCTAGATGCTCAGTTCTCTTTTATTTTTCTTTTTAAAACGACATCTCCCGCACTAGGAATATATCCTATGTCGCGGGGGACCTCACAAAGAATTCCCAGACATAAACAATAATTAGTGGATCACAGAAAGTGTTGTCCCATGTGGGGATCAAACCCACAACAATCAGCGCATTAGAAAGCGAGGTGACCGCTCAAATCACGTTGCCATCTGTATGGTCAATCGTTAAAAATATACCTTGTATGAATAGTTGAGATAAACTAAAGTGAGAAAATAGCTCACAAGTAATCGTAATCCAATACGATCTACAATTTAACATTAGTTATAAAGAATTCTGGATTAATTAGCACAGGCTATTTCTTAAGTAAAAATGTGGCGTGGGTTAGTGTGTTTTTTTTTCTATTTTTTATGTTTCACTTCATTTGCTCTTTAATTCGTTTTTTTTCCTAATTTGATTTTCTCTTCGTAGTCTTTTTATCTTTTAGTCCTTAATAATGGACATACTGGCACACATCACACCAATGTTGTTTTATATTCAATAATGCCATTGAATCTATTTGTAAATTGCAAAAGAGTTTTGTTTGCCCTTTCTTCTCATAAGGCTCAACCCCTTGGAAACGGGCGGTTATAGATAGGCACAAGCATATCATAGATTTTGTATAAGTTTATTTTTTATTAAATTTATTTTGCTTACTATTTGACAAGACAGAGATTGTTGCTTTTGTGTGTGTTGATCTATGACTAGAGTCTACATAAAAGACGATTTCAAACAATTTTTTTTTAATGTAATAAACAGAGTTTGAGTTTGAATCAACAAATTATTATTTAGTTTTAATTATGATAGCTAAAGTATCAATATTTGTTTGAATCCTTGAAAATGTATAGATTAAAAGAGCTTTTCATTAGCCCATCACTACGAGTGCACAGATGAGTATCAGTTTCACAAAGTTAATTAAAAGTCGACCGATTTCTCGTTTACCCGTCTGACCGGTTTAATTTAATTAGTAGCAATACGGTTTGATATCTGTTCTAGAGTTACTGATACACAAGTCTATTGAAATTGAAGGAATACTGCAAGTTTCAATGTGTGATCTGATTGGATTCATATTTGCACTGTATCATCAGCTAACGAGTACTTTATGAGGGTACATTTTCCTTTTTCCGGTTAATAATTTTAATAATCTTAAAAGAAAAATAACGGGAGCACCCTCGATAATCCTGGGGGATGGAGGGGGGTTGAAAAGGCGGCAAGGCACTTGATTCTCTAGGGTTGCAGGTACCCAATAATCATTTACCATCAAGTGACCCGTCAGCCTTCTTATTCCCTGTTCCATGAACAAAAATACCTTCGCATTTACAATACTACTTAGGAAGTCAGAATGTTATAGAAATACCAGTAAATTTGTGACCAAAAGGATATATAATTTATCCAATTTGTCATATTTCCAAAGCAGACATGTGTGTAGATATCAACATACTTTTGTAAGGAAATAGTGAAAACATTCTCGCTAGTTCTGAAAGGAGAATTCTTTGTGACGGCGAAGCTGCTTCGTGTTATACAAAATTTGAACGTTGAATTCATTCGTGGAACTCATGTTTTACTTAAACACGGAATAGTCGTGTTTAGAAAAATTATACCGTACGTTATTGAGGTACAAATTTACAATGTAATTGTGAATTAAAAGATACAAAGTTCTTCAAAGCTCTTCTTAACCGTCTTTGAAAAAAGTTCCGGTTTATTTGTGTTCTCCATCTTTTTTATTTGAGAGCATATCATATACTTCCTGTTTGAACTCATTCAACTGAATAGAAAATACACCAAAAGTAAGGGTTAAAAATTAGGGAAAAAAAACACGGTATTCAAATTATAATTCATAACGATGTAGTTGCATTCAGGTCTTTAAATGATTTTTTTTTAAAGTCACGTAGCTTATTTAATTTATCAATAATTTTTCTCTTCCATATGAAAAGGCTAATATATTAGCCGCAGAAAAGACAACCGTTGGGAAAAACGAGTGTAAAACGCGTCTCGGCAAACGTGGTGTAAGACGCCCACAGGCCAGGTGGAGTGACGAGTAGCGCAGGAGCTGGATGCTAGAAGCCCAAAATCCATCTAAGTGGCGTGCAATGGGAGAGGCCAATGATGATGATATAAAAAGGGCTAAAATTAATCTGACTGATCGCTCCAAAGATTAACACGTTTGAACACCATTTTACACTCCCGGCTTAGTGTTACTGCCCCTATTCGTATTTGATCGTAACCTATTCTTAATCCCATTTTATTCTGTGTGGTCACAAAATGACTTCTAGTTCAAGCTCTTGTGGAATGGACTGATACCATCAGCTAAATATAACAATGCATATTTCTCAAAATACGTGTTCTACTGTATTTCCAAACTGATAATTTCATTACTCACAAAAGATATAATACAACCTTGAGACGTCTGATTCATAACCATCTGATTCCGAACCAGGTAGAATCTGTACTTTGATGACCAGATTGCTAAAAAGTATACTCATATTTGACTTGATAAAAACCCAAAAAGGAATATTTTTAATATAGGATGGAAGTAAAACCCTCTGTTTCAGCAATCGGCATCTCAGGGTCGTTTTTGCCTAACCCAGGATATTAGTTGAATACCTCACCAGCGCAAACATAAACAACCACAACCAACCCCCCAGAGTAATGCTGAAGCAAAAAGACATAATATATCTCACAAATCTCACACACGGCAGTCTGATAGCAAACTAGGCAGAACCTGTATTATGGTAACCAGACAGCTGATAAACAAACTTATATATTTTTAAATACATACATATTATAGATAAAGTACACCCAGACACAGAACAAATGACCGTGCTCATCACACAATATTTGTCCTGAGTGGGAATCGAAACCACGATCTCCGGCTTAGCAGTCAGGGTCACTAACCACTAGACCAACAGGCCCGTCAAAAACGTCATAAACTGAAGTTATTACTAACACCAACTTTTTAAAACTAGCAGCAAATTTATTTTGGCTTTTTAATCCTCACATCATTGATGTTTCTACTAGGACTATCTGACTGATTCTAAACACGGAATACAATCTTGATTGCAGCTGGTTCTTTTTAAGTTGTAAGCACTCACTAAGAAAAGATCCCTTAGGAGTGAATAAAGTAAAGTAATTTTCAAAGTTAGAAACAGAAAAAAAGGAACAATCACGAGAGCAAAACCGCAGGCAATAGCTAGTTGCTAAATATATTTATATTGATTTAAAAAACAGGCATCCTTGTTATCGCTGTCATAACATCAGGCAAAAACGCAAGTTTCCGCCATCGTTCCAAAATTTTCATCCTCATCACCTGCATAGTTGGCGCTCCACTACTGTGCGCTTTTCGAGACACTTTTTGCCCCGCACAACCAATCTGTGAAACGGGTTATCGTCTGCGATATTTCCGGACCGATACGACCTTCAAACCTTCAAGAAAAGAGTGTACTCCTTCCTGAGAGGCCGGCAACGCGTTTGTGACTCCTAAGTTGCAGACGTTCATGGGCGGCGATGGTCACTTTCCATCAGGTGACCCGTCTGCTCGTCTGCCCCCTCTAACATAAAAGAAGAAAGTACCAGGGCTTTCCTTTCTATGGTATACCTGGTTCCCTGGCTTCTGGTATCTGGAGACGGTGCAGTTTTTGTTCGGTTGGAGTCCACCCATAATCACCCACTGGTGGGTGGTATCCGAGGAGAGTTCCGCACAGAAAAAAAAAAACGCAAAAACACAACAAAAGAATAACACAATAAACATTTTTGAAAACAACACTTTCATCAATATCCCCGTACAGTGAGACAATCAGCTAACATTATTAAGTAATGTCATCGATTCGATAGCGTCGGTACTATCGAGCACAGAAGTGATATCTTGGCCTGTCTATTTATTTTTGTCAGTAACAAACTTTGAGTAGTTTATTTGATAAAACTGCTTTGAAATTGGATTTTTCAAGTGCTTCGGTATATTGCCTTCAAATAAATTAATGTTGAGTTTATATTTCAGTAAACAGGAGCATTTATTACAATAAGTTTTGCAGAGTATATTTTTTGATATCAGTATTTTGTGTTATATGCCAGTTGGTGGAATTTTATAGTGTAATGTCTAATCATGGAGACGATGGAATAGACATATCCTTATACACGCCAGCCCTTGCAAGCCATGGGTCTGTTCGTCTTGTTATGGCTAAAACAAAGAACGTGGTTTTGATTCCCTCCTAGGACAATTTTTTTATTGTGTTATGAGCACAATCATTTGATCTGTCTGGGTGTCATTTATATATAATAATAGCATTTACCCGTGACTGGGTAGTCGGATTAGGCGTGAAATCGTAACAGACAAACAAACTAACTTTCATATTTATAATATTGATATGTATGTATGTATGTATTTAAAAATATATGTGTTAATCAGCAGTCTGGTTGCCAAACTATAGGTTCTGTCTAATTAGGACTTAGACGGCCGTGTGTGAGATGTCTGATGCGAAAATTGTGGTATCTAGGGGATACTAGAACTAGGGAACTAGCTATTTCAAATAAGAAATTGTAGGCTAAACGTAAAAAGCACAATGTCTGGCTTTAATTCTATTAACAAGCAGATGCAGGTTTTACAGCTTTCTTACCGAGAAATCGACTCCTCTTAGGTAGTCGAGATTCTGTAATTTACTATATGTAAATATTATATGGATGAATAATTATAAATTAATATTGAAAACACTTTTGTATATAGCGGTACATACGTCTGATGAACACTTTTGTTTCAGACGATAATAATTTACTTGGCTCATTGTACTATTTACTGTGACGCGAATAATGACGAGAACAAATGAGGTACATCGCTAATGAGTCCATTTTGTAGTGAAATACGTGAGAACAGCTTTTGTTATTGTAACTCATTCATCTTTTGAATCATATAAGTGTAATCTAATTAGTACAATTATGATACTATTATGAAAATATCACAAAGTACGATATAAAGGAATTTGACACAAGTGACAAAGAAAATAATTATAGTTTGTACATTTGTAATTAATTCAAAATGTGGACTTTGACTTACCTCATTGTTTATTTCGCCTCTTTAATTAATAATACTAAACAACAACAATTCAAACATTTCAATATTTAATGCGCAGCTTTTTCAAGTAAATTGCCTTTGATGAATAGTATGCATAACTCTGAAAAATACAGTAGTATCATCATCATTATCATCAACAGCCTTTAACAGTCCACTGCTGGACATAGGCCTCTCCTGGTTTTGGCTTGGTTTTGGTTTTGGCTACTATACCACGCTGGTCAGATGCATACCCCACATATCGAGGTCAAATGGCCCTTAGGATCCGATTAGGGTAATATTTGGGGTAGTATAAATTCAAATAATTCTTATATCGGAGCTTTGTTTCAAATGAGCGTACTCCTTCATTAAAGGCCGGCGACGCGACTGTGACTCCTGAGTTGCAAGCGTTCATGGGCGGCGATAGTCGCTTTCTATCAGGTTACCGGACTGCTCGTTTGTCCCCTATTCCATAAAAAAAAGAAAAAAGCGATCCAATATACTTAATGGATGATATATTTTAGCATGCCATATATTTAAAGAAATCAATTTAAACTTGACTAAATATACTTAAGTAAAGATATATGGCTCTACTCAAATGAGGCTTTTATGGAAACCCATTGTAAGTGTTAGTTGGTCATTACTGCTGTTAGAATTTATTTTTGGTAAGTGAGAAACACATGAAATTCTTGTTTTTTGGAAAGTATTAAACAACTCTGGGTTTATACTTCTTGAATTTTTGAAATACGACAGCTTGTGCCCGCGGGTCCACCCGCGTGTAGGTCGATTATCGTGGTTACTATCGGTTATAGCTTATGTCTTTCCTCAGGAATCAAAGTATCTCCAAGCCAAATTTTATTGAAATTGGGTTGGTGATTTGGCTGTGAAAGCAAGACAAAATTACTTTCGCAGTTATAATATTAGTTGGGATTCTCACATAAACGTATAAAAGGAAATAAAAAACATGATCACTTGGATCTGTCGGCTTAATGGTCGAGTCGCATAATTTTTTTCGCAAACTTCGTGCGTAACGGTCCTTTTTAATATCGACACCTCTAGAATTTTTTTGTGGCAATTCGCATACTAATAAATTCCGTTTGTGCGAATCGACCACTAAATAAATATTAATTTAAAAAAGGGTCGTTACGCACACAAAGTGTGAGAACAAATTTGTGCTAATTGACACTATGCCGATCTGTCGCATACAATATGTAAAAAAGATGTTATTCATTAAAAAAATAGTAAAACAACAATTTTAAAGATACTTTATCATCAATCAATATTGTAACATAAAAAGATAAGAATTAAGATAAATAAAAACAACACCTTTTAATTTAACTTTTTCTCCTTTGCCTTCAGTCAAACCGAAATCTGTGGAGCTTACTGGTGATGGAAAAACTCTGACGGATGGATCCACCTTCGGACCTTTACTGGAGAGAGCCAAGGTGAACGTGAGTTGTTCAGTGAAAGAAGGGAAGCCGCAGCCGAAGGTTGTGTGGTACTTTAAGAAGAAAACTGGTGGTGATATGAAGGAGTTGAACGGTAAGTGATATAATTTGAAGTATTTTTTATTAAGAAAACTGTTTAAGATATTACTTAGTTAACTTAACTTAACAAACATATGTGAAGAAAGGAATGCTTTGATTGTAAGGTTTTTTTGCGCACTTTGGATTCGCTGCTCCCAAGTGTATTGTATATGACGGTGGACCCATGTCTGGGTTGTTTTAAAATAATTAAATTAAGTAGTTGCGTCGATATATGTGTGAAGGAAGAGTTGTACTCGTATATTATACGCTATGATGATTCCATGTGGTGACGAATTAATAATACGGAGTGTCACCACCCCTATTCATCTCGTGGGTGGCGTAAGAGCCGACTAATAAAGCAAACTACGCAAGAAAACAGCACTGCGAAGTGAAGAAAAACTTGACACAAACCCAATACTAAGAAGAGGCCTATGTACAGCATTGGACTTTTAAAGGCTGTTGATGTGAAGCCAGGCCAGTAGATAAATGCCTTAAAATAAACCATTAAAACTAAAGTTCGAACAGAGCACAACTTCACTTCGGGGAGTTATTAATATGTTCAAACACTTCCCCACCAATTAATAGTCACAAATTGTATCCACACTTGGCACAATTCTCCGCACATAGTTCCCCTATGGGATTTATCCGCAATACTCAGTACTGCGGCAGTTTGGCAAGTAACTGTGGAATTTAAATCATTAAAACATACTCGTGGAATTGTTATTGGAAAATAAGATATAGAAAGAATAATAGGAAACGAAACGTCAATGAATAAATCAGGCGTTTCAAAAGTAATGTAGCTTAACTGCGACTGCACGGATGGCGTAGTGGTTTAAGCGGTCGCCACGCCGCTTTCTACTGCGCCGAGTGTTGTGGGTTCAAACCCCACATGGGACGACACTTTGTGCGATCACAAATTGTTGTTCTGAGTCTGGGTGTTCTTTGTGACCGTTTCTTGTATGTTTGTAAAGTCCCCCGCGACACAGAATTTATTCCTAATGCGGGAGTTGTCTTTAAAAAAAATAAAAAAATTCTCCAGTAAACATACATACTTTTGTTATAATGTGAAAGTGTTTTTGTTCGTTTGTTTGTTACGCTTTTACGGCTAAACCACTAAACTGACTTAAAACATTCTTTCACCAATGGAAAGCCACACTATCAGCGAGTAACGTATGCTTCTTTTTACCGCGATTACCGACACGTTGCGGCTAAAAGCTGGTACAGAATAAAAGATCATTTTGTTTTGTTTATGACGTAGCAGATGTTTAAGTAGGTAGATAAAAATTGTTTTTAATTCGACGGAGAGCCATGCTTTTGAACGTATGGACCAGTTTGAGTAGAGTACCACGGTTTAACCATAAATCGGTTTTAAGCAATTTTGCTCGTTGCATTTTACTGATTAAGTTAAGTTACCGGAGAACAGACCTCATCCCTCCCCTAGTTCTAAAAGATGGCACTTAAAGGGAAGACAACATACTTGTATCTTCTGAAATACATATATCTGTGAGCGGTACTGATTACTATCATGTAACCCGTCAAATTGTTTACCCAGGGCCCACCAGACATAATCACCTTGCCTGGTCGAAGGATCTTTCTTTTGAATTAATTTTGTTACTTTTTTCCCTGTCCAACCCAACCCGTCTGGTCAGCGTGGTATAGCAGGCCAAAACCTCCTTTCTAAAGAGAGGCCTATGTCCAGCAGTGGACAGTTGAAGGCTGTTGATGATGATGACTTTTTTCCGAATTAATTCTCATTCCTTTCACCAGGTTTCATCTACTCTAGAAAAATCCCGTAGTTTTTTAGATCAACACGCTTTTGCACGCTGCTCCGCCCTCGCATATGAGGTAAAAAGTACCTAAGTTACTCGCTGATGATGTAGCTTTCCATTACGGAAAGAATTCTAAAATCGGTTCAGGGGTTTAGTGATTGAATGTGAAAGTAAGTTTGTTTGTGTGTTTGTTACGCTTTCACAAACATGTCAAATTTACATTTATAACATAAGTATCAATGTATAAAGATCACCTCAAATCAGGATAAATAAAACTGTTTTAATGTTAAATACGGTAACCGGTTAAAACGTAACGCTCAGGCTGCGCTACAAACTCCGAATACATTTTGATTTAAAGCCTCGTGCTGACCACAAATCGAGGTAGTGCTTCAATTTCGGCCTAATTTAGCCTCCGATAACCGATCCGGATTAATTTACGGATACCAACGGAATTTTAGATTTATACCGATACTTGAAATTGTATGGGTTCTGCGTCACTGGAAATAGGTTCGATAGTAGTTACCCCTACTTCCCTTATTACACTCCATCCCTTATACATTGCTTTGTTCGATATGTTTTTAACTAATTTTATACTCTCTCCTACAATTTATATCAATCAATATTCAGGGTGTAAGGGACATCGTAACGAATACTGAAATAGTGTATTCAGACCATCATTCTGAGTCTAAAATCATTGGAATTTTCTGCCGGAAAGTTCATCAATATATATGTATGTATGGATACCTAAATATGTATTAATTAAATGTGTTAGTATCGTTATTAATTACTGTATTTGTATTACTTATTAAAAAAAATAGTTTAATCGCTATCTATGTAAATTATGTTATATTTGTCGCAAAATCTCTTGCATCTGCCATGTTTAGGCTCTGCATCGGCCTAAGGTCGACTGGTAGAAAATGCCTACGGCATTAAGTGCACCTTTGTCACGTTATATATGCTTAAATTATAAATAAAAATGAATTACTTACAGTAAAACAACAAAACGTTCACAACATAAAACTTTTGACTCAAACATTATTTGAATACAAATTGTTATTTGCCATTAAATATTGTCTAGCATCATAAAACACCCTCGTATGACGTTAAATTATTTACTTTCTATGTCAAAGTATTACCCTAATTACATAATATCTTTTGCAGTAGGTAATAAAACAAAACAAACAAATGGAATAGAATTAAAAATGCTAATAATATCAAAGCACCTATATATTAATAACAAAACGATCTCACACATATCGCATTTGGTAGTCTGTTCCCAAAGAATTGCCTTCACAAATAGATTATTTACTAATCTCATGATATTTTTAAGCGATTAAAATTACAATAATATTTACCACTACGCTATGTGTATGTATGTTCAGTAGACAGTTTAAAATCACTTCTCTGCTACCACCCGTACCAACTAAACTCCCCTAAAAGAGTAAAAGGACGATCATAGCACGTTTGTATTCAAAACTTGTTCGGGCTTGGCCTCAAAGCAAACGTTTTAAACGCAACGGTTGCGATTCGATTCCCGGGTCGTATTTATTGTTTGCGTACCACCGTTGAATGCCAAATAGCATTGGTTTTGTGTAGGTCCGACGTTTTGGGTATAAACCTAGAGTTATTAGAAATATGTATTCATTTCGTTTGCTTTACTATGAGATATGATAATCATAATACGGCTTTACTAGTGTAACATTAAAAAAAACATTCTAAGTATAAAATGTACAGTTCATGTTTATAAATATTGGCATTGCAGGGATTGTTCTCGAAGAATTCTTAATTACACAGAATTTAAACTTTGTACTACTTTGTATTGTAAAAATAGAACTTCCATCATTGTTCTTATAAATTTTGCAATTCCCTGTAAAATGGCTAGTAAAATTTGAGCGTTAAATTCAACTGTTGCTCACTTCATTAAATTTTAAGTACCCCACTCGAAAATTTAATCATGCCTAACACAAATAAATTATTTCTTCCATTTAATTTAGAACCAGAGTATATGTTAGGTAGTAATTATAGCTATCCCACAATTCCAATCAGGCGTGCGGTTTGCAGTTTGGTGCAGAACCATCTCATTCCCACTGCGGCTAAGGTTAATTAGTAATTAGATATTCTATTCAGAACAATATTGGTTTTAGTTTACAGATTATAGTGGTAATAAACAAAATATATTAATTTATTTAACACTTTATGCATTTACATTACACGCTGTGGTAAAGTTAAGTTATGAAAGATTCAGTGAGGGACAAGGCTATCATGTAGATGACCCGAGGTTGTAGATGACCCGAGGTATGTCGGGGCACCAGGGACTTCCTTTCTAGGGTATACCTGGTTCCCCGGCTATTAGTACCCGGCGACGGCGTGCGGTTTTAGTCGGTTCGAGTCCGACATGCCACCGACAGGTGGTATCCGAGGGGATTTCCGCATGGAAAAAAAAAAAAAAAAAAAAAAAAAAGGGACAAGGCTATCAGGACAGTACTTCATTAAGAATTTTGTATACACTGGTAAAAATATTTTGTATTGCCTTATCTAAATAAAGTAACGGACTTATTAAACTTAATTTAATATAATCTAACATACTACAGTTTGGTAATATAAACATTATAGTACGTAGGGTTTTAAAAAAAGACCTACGTATATATATATATACGATATACGTTCAATGGATTCACCGTGCCGCTTCTTGCGAGGCGTCAGCGCTCACCTCCACTGACTGCTGTGTTACCCTCTCTACATAACCATATTTGATACGAGCCTTAGGTATTCGTTTAAGAAAAGAGCTCCAGTAAGCTCTTTTCTTGTTTTGCACAGCATGAAGATCATAACAGCCGTGCCGCCACCTAACCTATCCAGTACCTTTTTGGCCACTACCGACACTTTGCAGGTTGCTGACCTCACCGATGTACACTTTGATTCGCTCGGTCGATTTCGATCTGCGCTTGTTAAGCATCTTTCTCACAACAAACAGACTGGAAGGTATCTATTGCTATTATAATGTTACCTGTTGTATTGAAGGTCGCTCTTATTTTAGTTTTTTCAATTAGATTTGTAATAAATACATACACACCTACTACGAATTAAAACTATATCGAAGCTCAAAAGGATATTTTTACCAGCTGCTTGTTGAAAAATTCACGGACCTTAGCTGTAAATGCTTCATGGTTGGTGGACTTCCTAAACCTCAGAAGAGATTGCACTGTATAAGAAAATAAAATATACAGTAGAGAAATTCGGGTACGCT